CGACTAAGCTGCCTGCCACAGCTATTGCACTGGTCATGGGCACGGGCAAACCATGGCCTTTGCTTGCACAACTGCTCAGCACGATCAGTTGTCAAAGGGTTAGCGACCTTAACCGTTCTGAGACCAAGTGAAATGCTGTATCAGCTGAAGTGGCTCTGGTAAGGGGAATTCCACACTTATCTTTCAACAGTATTTTTAGTCTATGTGCCTTAGAAACTATTTCTGCTATGTACTGCAAAGGCTGTGACACGTACATTTCTGCCAGCATACCCATAAACTGGTGAAAGGATGACATGTCTCAAACGTGTCGCGCGTAGGTAAAATTTAATTCCCAAGTGATGCCTATCATAAGCCATGAGAGAAAAACTAAACTCATAAATATAGACATTAGTAACAGCATGACCTAAAATAAAACTGTAATTGTAATGCATTAGTATTTAATTTGAATATGTACTTCCCTGGAGGAGACACGGAAAAACTGTATTGTGAGTTTCCAAAATACCACATGAATTTTACAAATATAAACCACAGGAAAGTTGTAAGTTATGTGTTACTGGCTTTATCATTAATGAAATTCTATTGAAATGCAGTTTCCACCCCGTACTCTAAGCTTGTAAAACAAACACCTTGAAAATTTCTAAAGGAACATTTCCCTCTTTGTTTGTCATGGATTCTTGTATTGGATTGTATTTAGTATCATTCCAAACAAAGAACTCAAAATGTGATATGGCACACGGTGTTCTGGCCAGCAGAACTGCTGGAGTCCTAAATAATGAGGCCTAGAGGTGTAATTCCAACATTCCACAATTCAGAGCTCCTCCATTGTAAAAATAATTATACCTCAAAATTGTAAATGCTATTACTTCCTTGATAATCAGGAACTTATTTACAGCCAAACTTCAAGCAGAAAGTATGTGTTTGGCTTTTTAAGAGCTTTTAGGTCATCTTCATAATTCATTTTAAAGTTGTATTCCACTTACCACAAAATACACTAAATGTTTTTTGAAAGCAGTGCGAACAGTTGCTTCCTGTTCTAGGAGAGAGGAAAAAGCACCGATAGCAGCAGCAGAGTCCTTGTAGTAGCACAGCAGAAGGCATCTGCCCTGGCATTTTCCTCTCCCAAACTTGGAGCATTTTCTGGTGTCTTCAGCTCTTTCCTGCTTAGATGCCTGCCACCTGGGAAGCTGGGAACCAACACTGCACAGTGTATTCTCGCCACATTCTTTCCTCTTCCTTCTCCCAATCCATTTCCTACATGTCAGGCTGTGAAAATCTCTGAGAATTGCCTTAATGGCTTGAAGGCCTTGCACTGAGAGGGCATTCAGCAGAGCAGGGAAGCCATAGACTGCCAGAAATGCCCCCAAACTCCAGAGAGGCACAAAGAAGCGTTTGGCTCAGTCAGCTGGTGTTCCTGAGACCAAGTGCAGAAGCCATTCCCTTCCTCATCCCTCGTGCAACTCTCCTTCTGCAGGCTTGGGGGAAGCCAACAGTTATAGCCCATGCAGTAACAAGGCCACGAGGGAGAATGACAAAAGAGCAAACTAAGCAAGGAAAAGTGCTTGATGCCTTTTGGTCCATCCTTAGAGCACTGAGAGGGAGTGGGGCGATAAGGGAATCTTCCCAGCTGGCTGTAGCCAAAGCTCTGGAGTTCTCATGCGCTCCTTTGGCAGGGCGTCGCGTTGGGAGTCATCCCCTCCGGCTCCCACCCGGAGCTGGGGCAGGGCTGCCCGTGTCACGCGCGGAACGGGCTGCCTTCCCATCCTCTCATCCCCCCTAGCTCTGCTTTGGAGAACTTCCCAAAACGTTACCACATACATTTGGCCTGTAGCTAAGATGAGTTATCATCAAGTGAGAAAAGGGGGGTTTCTTCAGTGGTTAGTTTTGAAACAGAAGAATGAAGTTAGGATATGAAATTTTACAGCTAATCTGCAAATGCTGCTGAACATCTCAGAACGTGCCTATGGATAGGTGAAATTAGATCAAAAGCTGGCTTGGATTAGGTTAATGCTAAAGGAGATTTGTATGCATGGAAAACTTTACAGATGTTTTTCCTCTGATATTTTGATATGGTGACTATTCCAAATATAAAAAGGGTAACAAAAATAATGGAAAAAAGTCTAGGCTGTTTGACTGTTTAAAAAGGATTCATTCAATTTTGAAGAAATGTTTGAGCTGGGTCTTATTTTACCCATCCAGATACAACAACCTTTTGTTTTGTTTTGTTTTTCTGGAGTATTTGTTACTGCCTGGGAGTGCTCTAAAGTGAAATTTCATTTAACAGAGGCCCATATTATTTTACATGATCAACTCCAAAGAATGGAATTGCTCTCATCCTTAACTTCAGTATCTAAGATTTAGCCTTAAAAGTTTCTCTGAGGGGCACAAAGAAATATGTGTAACTAAATGTTTTCTTACCAATTCCTTCTTGTGCAGGAACATGAGCTCTGCTGGCCCAGAAGGAAGGAAAAAGATGAGAGAATGTGATGGATTGATTGATTCTCTTGTGTATTATATTCAAGGAGCTATTGCAGATCACAAGCCTAATGACAAGGTATTTTTCAAGATGAAAGGTCTTTTCCTAGAGAGAATCACTAAAAAAACAATGATTGTGTTTAGAAGCCAGTATTCAGAAACAACTGTGATAAAACTGCCAAGGTTATATTCATTTCCAGAGCTTTTAGAACTGACAGCTATGATGAAAGTTCAGAAAGAACTTTCAGAAAAAACTTTTCCTGTCTGACTAAAAGAACAACATACTTTAACTGCAGAGTAACATTTTCAGAATCACCAGAGAGAGCTAGAACAATTTTGGCCCATTTTAAAAAGTGATATAAAGTCATAGCTTCCAGAGATCCTGGAATACTTACTGAGGTCACCACCTTTATTTGTCTAAGAGATCTAGATAGATAGGAGCTTTAAAGATTTAATCAGATCACTTTTCCATACCATTAGTGCTAAATGCCCCTAAGGAAATGAAGAACCTAAATTTGGGTGGCAGTTTAACTAAGCAGTTTACATCATTTAGAATGGGATTTAGTTTATCATCTAACTTGTTTAGAAGTCTTGCGTTTGACCAAGCTAGGACTGCAGGTAATGTGAAGAAATGGACACGACCAGAAGGCAGTTCCTCACAGTCTCCCTTCACTGACTGTAGATGAACTGTGGACACTTTGCTCAGCCCAGAGACTTGTCTTTTAGCTGGGTGACATTAGGTGAGGAGAGCAGCAGTCGCTGGTGAGGAGATGATGTGCAGCCTCTGAAGCGCTTCTAGCCTGCCTGCTGTAACATGTGCAGTGTAGCAGTAATTACTGTACATGTACAGTTCTTTTCTAGGATTAGTTACTTGAGTTTTTCCATCTCACTATTTTCAGTGCTATTAGCTTCAGGGAGAATCACAACAAACCACCCTTGTGCCAATTGCAGCCTGCTGCGTTTTGCATTAAAACCACTCATTCCCTTTTTATTTTCAGAGAAGGAGGAACTGGTAATAACCATTTACCAGCACTCAGAATCTGCAGATCTGGTCTTGGCTGCCCTCAAAATGGCAGATCAAATCAGAAAGAGCACTTCTATCACGGAAAAATACTTCCTACTTCAGAAAGATACAAAGCATTCTTAATCCTGACGCTATGGCTAGATGTGTACGTGATCATCTTTCCTCCTAAGCTTTAAAACATTTCCTGACACACTTCTGCTCGGTGCCAAACAGCACTCGCCCAAACAATTCCCAGGCACAGTTTGGGAATTACAATGTCCCAGGACCATTTCCAAGAGGCATGCACCCTGCTCTGAATGCAAGCCCTTCTGTGCCAGCTGGCCTCAGTGCTCGGGAACATCCCAGGGCATGTTGAACTTCTCAGCGTACGGGCAGTCTTGTGGATCACTGGCATGAAGACGGGCTCTTCTTTAAGCTCTGCAGTTAGTTACTTAAGACAGGAGAATGAAAGTGCTTCCCATGTCTATACATGTCCATTCAACACATGCACGAGCTTTAGAGATTTGTCTTCTTTTGTTATTTTAGGCCACGGAGAATTGCGTGTGCATTCTTCACAATCTCTCCTACCAGCTGGAGTTAGAACTCCCCGACAGATATGCCCAAAGCATCTATATGCAAAGAAGAAATATCTCCACCAATGACAAAACACCAGGCTGTTTCGGAACGCGGAGCAGAAAAGTGAAAGAGGTAAAGCACATGTTTAGTTGTATCTCCCATTTGTTAATCAGTTGCAACGACATCCAGAGAATGAGGTCTATGATATATTTAGGCTCATGTTTTTAGAAAGAATATTCAGTACAATTAAATATTTAAATTTTGATAATTGTTATTTGCATACATAACTTGGTATTATTTGCTAAGGAGCTTAAAAGCTAAAGAACGAGTGTGAACACAAAACTGCTCCTGTGGTGATCAATTGCTATAATGTTGACTCCAGTTAGTTAGAGTGAAGCAAAATCAGGCCTGTTCTTATCCTATGAAAGTTTGGAAGAATAGAAAGATTGCATTTTAAACACATTGTACAATATACACTAAATCCTTAAACTTTTCTACTGAGGTATTCCTGTGGATGTCCCCTACAGTTATGGTACTTTCATGCAAAGAACCTCGTGGAATTATTTAAATTGCATTCTCGTTTTATTATTTTGTAATACCAATGTGCTCTATTTTCTGATACATATTAAGAAGGTAAATAAAGGGTTATTCATTTTGGGGGTTATTTTACTGATGAATACTTTTTCAAAAGGATCCCAGCATGCAGAGCATAAATGTATCCTGTCTTGTGCTTCGTAGCTCATTTTGATCTAAAGCCAGCTCAGAGGAATTTCCTTCCATCAGAAGGTGCTGAGTCATCAAACCCAAAATCCTTTGCTCGTTTCATCTGCACGGTCTAACTGCCTCCCCACTTGCTCCCTGCTTGCTGAAAGGCCTTCTCTGCAGCTCACCTCTACTACCTAGTTGTAAAACCTGAACCTAATAAACCTCACAGACCTCCTCAGCTAGTTAATTACGGGGAGACAAGAGCAGGATAAAATATTATCATACAATAGTCTGGTAGTCTTCCCATAAATGTATTCTTATTTCAACATATGGCCATCAGCTTTTAATTCATTTGGGTTTTTTTAGTCCCTTCGATTGTTAAAACAAGAGTGATGATGAGATGATAAATTTCTGTCTTGTTTTCTTGCTTACTGACGCGCACATGAAGAATTTAACTGGTCTTCGGCCCTGCAAAATCTTCTGTACCTAGAGAATATAGAGAATGGCTGGTTTAGATTGTGATACATTGCTATATAAGGTCACTGGTTCTAAAGGTTTGATCTGTTTGTATGTTTAGAAGCAACAGGACACCCCACTACCGGAGGAAAAGAGCAGTCCCAGAGGTGTAGAATCGCTCTGGCATTCCACACTGATCAGGATATATCTTTCCTTAATAGCAAAGAGTACCAGAAACTATACCCAGGAAGCATCCCTGGGAGCACTTCAGAACCTCACAGCTGGCACTGGACCAGTAAGTCTTTTTTCTATTTACTCTCCTTTCTTTCTGAGTGTACATGAATGGAATTAGGGGCTGCAGTGCAACTTGCTGGCAGCACTGTGTTCAGATAACTGCGGAAAAGTAACTGGCTCCATGAAATCAAGAATACTGGAATGGAAAGTCATAGTCAGCATTGCAGATATTTCTTGTCTGGCAAATATAAGGACTGCTGTTTCCCACTCCATGTGTCTATAACTCCACGTGTGTCATTTCCTAATTCATTGCACATTGGAGGAATATGTAAATGGTAAAAGAAGAAGCGTTTGTGGAACATAGTCATTCTTGGGTAAGTCCAAAGGAGAGAGAAAATTTTTGGCACCACCATGGGTCACTTTTGTGGTGAAGAAACTGATGGCCTCTGTCATGTTTTGCCAGAGGAACTGTCCAAAAACCATGTGGGAGAAAGCAGACTTGAAGTTTCCTTTATATCATCTGACTTTCCTGTAACGACTTATGTAGCTCTGGATTAAAACTATTTCAAAACAATATTTAAAATGATGTAGAGAACTTACTGCAGCTATTTATGAGGCTTTACATTCATGCTAAAGACACATCATTGTTGTATGCCTTATAACAGATGCCATTGGCGGTGGCCCAGACTGTAGTTCGGAAGGCAAATGGCCTTCCAAGCATTCGAAATATGTTGCACGTTAGCAGCCCGACAGTCAGGAAAACGGCGGTCTCATTGCTCAGGAACTTATCTCGCAACACCTCTCTGCAAAGTGATATAGGTAAGCAAAGGCTGACATCAACTCTCGGCCCTTCTTTCACTGCTCTCTTCACCTTCATCTTTCCTTCTTCAAAAAAAGAAACAAGCAAAAATGTTGTTGTATGGGGTTAGGAGATTTTTAAGCCAGACATGTAGTCCTTATGCAAGATCAAAAATGAGCGTTCTCCCTAAATTGTGCTGCTTTATCAGATACCTCCATTGATCTTGCTTTCAAAAAATACTTAATGGAAGTAAAATAAACACAGATTTGGAGAATACTATTTTTTTTCTTCTGCTTACAACAGAGTAAAAGGAGAAGAGTGTTGAATTCTGTGCTGCCATAGCTATGTAATCCTCTGGGATAAATTATAGAACATCCATAGTTTTTTTCTAGCAAACATTGTGTTTTCTTCCTTTAGACACAAAGTTTTGGAAGCTTGCATGTCACACAGTTGGCCGGCATGAGTGTTTTAAGAAAGAAGCTAGAATATGCTATAGAGAAAATAGCTTAATCTTTTGGGGGGACCTTGTTTCTAAAACATTTTAATTAGTTTTTTATCAGAAGCCATCTCTATTCTGAGTATTTCAATGTAAAATATATTTGAATATTTTTCCTACTGAAAACACAAAGTGAATTCACTTTGTTTGTTGCCCATTCCTATGTCCCTGCACAAAGAGGGAGGGAGAATTACAGGCAAACAGCTGTTTCATGTAACAGATTAGCTTGCAGAATTTTACAGAATAGTCTCCTGGGCACTGTTTAATCCTTAGAAAACATACCCTGTTGATGAGAATGTTATAATATGTGTTTGGCCTGATTTCAAAGGAATAATCTATGTGTGTATTAAAAAATAAAAGTGTCAAATTCCCTAGAAAAAGCAGGAATTGACATGAGAGAAATATTTAAGCATTTCATCAGGAATAACTATCTATAAAAAAATGTGGGAAAGAAAGAAAAACTTGAACCTCTGAGAAAGATTCTCATCTTGTACCTTCACAATGTTCTTCTTGCTTTACCTATGGTAGAGAAAACTTGGAGGACTTTTTTTTCTGATGAGCTCTTTCTCCATAAAAATGAGTTCGTTTTGGTTGACTAAAAACATATGGATTCAGGTCAAATTCTCCAAGTAATTTTGGCCAAAGATTTATTTGGAAGGGTAGAATGTTTCCTTGATGAAAAATGTCTTTATTCATAAAGCAAAATGAACCTTTGATATGAAATTGAGACAATTTAATTTAGGTCATTTCTACAAATAAAATGATTGGGGAAAAAAGGCACAAAAAAATCTGTTTTACCTAAAAAACAGCATTTGTCCTGAACTGGCATTTTCAAGAAATTTTCAATTGTAGATTTTCTGAAAATTGCCTTACTTGGCTTATCAATGGAAAGAAAAAAATACAAGTGGGACTAAGGTCTTACAGGTACTCAAATACAAATGTACTTGTTAGTAATGGAGTTGTTCATTTCTCTTCTAACTTCTAGCTAGAGAAGTTTTGCCGGATTTGGTCTCGATACTTCCTGATTCTGTCCCCGAGTCTGATATTGCTTATGAGACCGCAGCTGCCATCTGCTACACCTTGTACAATTTGACACAGAGCAGCTCCCACAACGCACGGCTTCTCCTGAACACTGGCGGCCTACCAAAGATTATGACCATCAGCATGAGTGACAGGTAGGACACGTGGGAAGTCTTTCCTTCCCCTTTTTTTTTCCGCAGGGAAAAGAAATAACTGCAATATCTGCCACTTACTTACTTAGCATGGAGGGAGAGCACTGTGTCTTGGAGGAGTAGGCCACAAACAGAATTACACATACAGAAAAATCACTTGTAATGACTGATCCATCCATAGGTAGGTTGGCCATGTTACAGCATTTTAAATAGCTCCTTGGAGGATGACAGCACTTTATGATCTATAAATTCACAGAGTGGCTGATCAGCAGATCTTATCTACCCCCAAAAAAGTTTCTGTTTCCTGTCCTTCGCAATGCAGCTGTGATAATCTCTAATAGTAAAGTGCAGGGATGTGTTTCATACAATTGGTAGAACTGTACTTTAAAAATATTTATAAAGCGGCATTCTAGATGATTTTGTGTTTTCTTTAATCTGCCTTTAATACTTAGCCAAATGCAACAATATTTAATGAAAGAGAATACTTAAGGCTTTTTGAATGTAATTATTCTGTTTGCCTCCTGTTCTTAAACAGGAAATTCATCTCAGTAAACGAGGCCTGATGAGGCCCTAAATAGTATAAATCCTATCTAGCTAAACAGATATTTCACCTGCTGGAAAGATGCTTATGGGTGATTGTTAAGCTGAGGTATATTTTAGTCAACTAAATATGAAAAGTTGTTGAATATGAAGGCTATAAAGTACTTCCATTCTCTCTAATTTTTGAGAATAAGTAAATTAGGAAGGCATTTTTTCTTGCATTAGGTTTGGTAGTCAGGACAGTGTGAAATGTACCTGTATACCTGAAAAGCAATAAACAGGATCTAGGAGGGAATAGGCAGCTAGACAGAATGAATGCTAAGAGGTTACATTTCCTGAAGTGTACATGCACTGTGATTTTGAAGTGGGATTTTAAACATTTCATTTTTATAAAATTGCAGTAACACATTCAGCAAAGCCAGCAGGGCTGCCTCCCTCCTCCTCTACTCCTTGTGGTCACATACGGATCTCCACAGCGCTTACAGAAAGGTAAGACGTGGGTTGTTGCAAAGACATTTCATCTGTCCTCTTAGGTCAAGAACCCTTTCCTTTGTCCTTTGGGACACAGCTTTTCTGCACTGTTGGGAGACAACTCATGGTGGGAGTCTAAGCAGTCCCCTACCTCGAGTTTCTGTTACTCCTGTATAAGTAAGGCAGGCGCTTAAAACCTGCTTTCAGTGCTCCTATTTTCTCTCTCTTTTGTACACACGGCAAACTTGTGGGAAAAAAATAAAATAAAACAAAACAAAACGAAACAAAACAAAACAAAACAAAACAAAACAAAATAAAATAAAATAAAATAAAGCAGATGTTGCCTGCCAGGACTGCCAGATAATGAGAAGTTATGCAGAGTAGGTGTCCATCCTCCATTGGCTGAACCAACACGGCACAAGCAATAAGAAGGTGCCAGCAAAAGCAAAGGAAGGGCAAGGCAGCTTCTTGCTTTAAAATCAGAGCAGTCTTGTTCTCCTTGTTGTTTGGTCTTTAAGGCCAGGCCTTAGTTTTATACAAACAAAAGGGTAGAGTCAGGGAAGGGCGTTGGCAAATGTTAACTGCCAGAGTCAAAATCAAACAAATAAAGACCAGGTTAAATTGGCCAATAAACTAGGTTATTTCTTTCCTTTTAAAGTTCTCTGGCTGCTTTTTGAACGCACTACTCAGGTGACTTCAACCTGTTTAATGCTTTGGGTAGAACACTGCATTTTAAAACATTTTTATTCCATATTTTCCTGCTCAGAACTTCTATTCTCTAAAATTACCTATAAATGAAAACTACTTATAAACAAAAAGTATTCAGTTTTTCAGGCTCCAGCCTTTTAAATTTATTAGCCAGTTTGTTTCTTTGAAAATGAAAATGTATCTGCAGGCTACTAGATTTAAAAAAGAATAAGAATTACTTTTTTTTTTTGGTTGAAATTTGCCAAGTTACTTATAATTTTTTTAAAGTATCTCAGCAGTATATTGCCCAAAACCCAGAAATCTGTGTTCAAGAATGACTGTTGTAACCAATAACTTTTAACTAGATTTATATGTCCCTGTTTTTTTGCATCTATGTTATTGACTCTACGATTCTTCACTAACCCTGATGACATGAGTTTTATGCAGTAATGTTACTTTGGGTGTGCATATAGTAGGAAATGCTTGCTGCTCCTCTGTAAATCAGATCCCTTAGAGGTATCAAGCAGGGCACTGTAAACAGCAGGCCCCAGTATCTAGTCATTTTTGCGAATGTTTTCTAACAAGCAACAGAAATCAGTTAATCAAATGAGATGATTGGCACAGTCCTGAGGCAGAGCTAAGCTAGAAGAGTAGGCTCCCTGCAGTCAGTAATGTAAGCAACTCCAAATAATGATTCATCTCACCTATCTTCAGCTCACAATGACTCATCTCACCTAGCTCTGGCTATATCTCATCTATCTTCCACTCTAGAGGGGTGGCTGTTCTGTCTGAGTGACTTCAAATGACCCAGCCCAGAATCCTAACTTGGCATCTGCCTCTTAGCCAGGGGAGCCCTCCCCTCCCTTGCAGAATTATCACGAGAGATCATGAAAGCTTTTCTTTCTTTCTTTGTGTCTTTCCAAAGGCTGACTTCAAGAAGACAGATTTCGTCAATAACAGGACCACAAAAGCTTATAACTCTCTGAAAGATTGAATCCAATAATCAGGCCACTGAAGAGGAGTGAGATGATATGTCAGTTAATATAACTGCCTTCACACGGTGTGAAGACCACAAATTCCACCACAAATCAGGAAGTATCTCAGAAGAATAGAGGCTGGCTTTAAGAGCTGAGTGACTGGAGGAGAGCTATTCTACTTTTTTTAATCTGAATCACATTGTTGTCACTTGTGTGTGCCAATTTATGAATAACCAAAGGCGACTTCTTCAGGATGTCTGAGGCAAAATTCCGTCCAGGTTTGCCCCTAATCAGAGCTTCATTAAGGACATGGCTGTCTTAGGCTAACAAGCATTTGAAATGCTGATTGGCTGCAAATTTTTTTACGCTGCTTTATACAGATAGAATTCTACAGCGGGTGAGCACCAGGTGATCTGCTCAGGACTTCTCACCTTTCTGGTTCTTCACACATGTTAAATAAGCATCTCCAGACTTCGTGAGTATACACAAGAAGCTGCTTCACTACCTGCGTTATGAAAGCACCAAGGAAGTTAAAATGATTATTTTTGTACTGCTTGTATTCATGGGCTCACTGTTTCTTAGCCTCTTTGCTTTGAGATTTCATCAACAGAAAAAAAAAAAAATTACATAGGTCTCATCATGCCTTGCTCCTCTCACCCTCCCTCACACAGCGGTTGGAATTGGTAACTGTGTCCAGAAAGGATTTTAAATAGAATCAGTGTCTGTCACACACTTTGAGCTGAACTTAAATTCATCATTCTTTGATAATTGGTAGAGGTAGTTGCTAGTGATTCAGTGATTATTTTCAGAAAAAAAAATGCATTTTTAAAATAACTCTGTTGATATCTATATATATAGTAAAGGAAGCGGAGTCTTGTCTTTATTGTTGAAAAGAGAGATACACACACACGAGATTTGGATCATTGTTGCTTAAGGAATTTATCTGATCCTGCTTCATATTCTCTTACTTGAAATCATGATCCTACAGCAATTTCCTGCAATGGGATACTGAAGGAGTCTGCTCATGTGGGCATCGGTAACAGGAGGAAGCAAATTCCTAAGCACCAGGGGACTGTTCCCATGGATCCTAGGAAAGGAAGAGAAGCACAAAAACACACCTGATTGATTGATAGTTTTGTAAGCAAAATTTATCTCAACAAAGACACTAACATGTCCATTAAATCCACTGGACATAAATATATAAAGCTGGATTATGAGGTGACATGATCCTTAGAGCAAGGGTCTCAAAGATGCGAGCATCAGGCCTGTTCACTTTAACACTCAATCAAAATTTTAGCTCCTACCAAAAATAAACCACCAGCATATTATGACATTGCAACATGTCCAAATGTATCTCTGGTTATCAGGGAGCTAAATTCTGTTTGTAGGTGCACGCTGACTTCCCAGGAAGTCACAAATGCATCCAGAACAGAACATGCCTTAGAAAGTTAAACAAATAAGCCTGTTTTCCCATCACGGGTCATTTTCATAGGTTTGCTAGACCTTTTCATTTGCTTTGAATAACTGCTATATCAAATGCATTCCAGCAGGAGGTTCTAAAAGTGCTGGGGTTTTTGTTTTTGTTTTTTTTTTTAGAGGTCATATTCAAAATATTCCAGGTCCAAAAACAACACAAAGGAGGGGAACTTAGATCACCTCATGTAGAGGAAAGTGTTTTGTTTTGTTTCAAATGTGACTGAAAACAAAATGTAAACTTTTATTGTAATGTGTTATAGCACTGCATATACCATAAATGAATGAACACCAGGAGACCTGGACTAGTCTTTTTTTTTTACTGCCAAAAATGTAGTGGTGGGCAAAATTGGTATCAGAAACTTTTTATTGTTAGTGTCCCTTTAAAATCACAAGAGTGTTCAGAAATCCCTCAAAGCAATGTCAGGCCTGCCAGCAACTGTAAGGTTATAACTGGGGGAGAGGCAAGGACACACCTCGTTACAGCTGATCTCCTGCTTGTGTGCCGTCAGGAACATTTCAGCGGGGCTCCAAAGAAAGCAAGAATGTTCATGAGAGAAATAATAAAGCATTCTTTCTAATGGAAAAAATCTGTCTTTGCTGCTTTAGTGAAACTGCTTGCTGGGATGCAGCAAACATTTTCAAGCTTAAACCTTTCCATAAAAATGACAAGGTCATTTTTAAATTAAATCTAGGTAGAGACATAGACCGTCCTGTAAACAGAGAGTGCTACTGAGGGCCAGCTGTGCAGTGTTCCCGACTGACTGTATCTGAGTGCTCCTGCAAACAATTTGTTTGCACTTGCAAGACCTGTTACATCTTTGACTAGCATTACTGACAGAGCAAAGGATCGGGCATTCTCTGTCTTCAGGCTCTATAATTTTCTGTCTTTGGGGCTCAGGGCCAAGAATCCCGCGGCGTCACCTCGCAGCACCCCCAGGAGCAGCCCATGCTCTGTCCTCACGGTGCAAGCCCCGTCGCAGATACACAGGAGGAGGCACCGCACTGGACACAAGGCAGTCGCCCTGTGCAAGCTCAGCCTCCCCGTGCTGCTCCCAGGGGAGCCGGGGGGCTGCCCCTCGCCAGGCCTCGGCGGCACCAGCACTCACTCTTGCGCTGCCGCCTGCAAGGGGCCACGTGAAGCCATGGTCTCACTTCAGGTGGGAGGTAGCAGCTTCTGACCCATAAACTTGTGTCACTCTAACAGCTCAAGCGCCAAGCAATAGTATCTGAGATAGCTAAATGAATGAAGTCTCAGTGTGAATTAAACACTAGCTCTGCAGTGTTTAATTAGATTCAGTGTCTACATTAGACTCATACCTGCCGATTTCAGCTCCAGCAGCTCCCTCCAGACTTTCTCACTTGAATAGCTGCTGCGCTGTTAGACCTCAGCTCACATTCCTGATTCAGGCTGCAGGGCCAGCTCAGGGGCTAGATAACATGAACTTCACACATCACTTAAATTGAGCCAAAGAATTGGAAACCGGAGCAAAAAAAGAGACCGGAGAAAATGTAAATTTTAGCTTGACATCACAGTGCACCAAGGGCAAAGCGTGAAGAACCTGTCATTAACGTGACCATGTGAATCTATGTGTGCCCTGTTGGTTTTGATGGTGCATGGCATCTGCCCAGTGAAACTCCATCAGGGAGATGTGTTGTCATATAGACATGATAAAAAGAGGAGGGTTTTAGTAGATGGTATATGCAGGATGGGGTTTCCCCTTCTCTCCAATCATGCTTTGTGTATTTTAATAGGTTTGTGTATGATAAGGAAATAAACCTAGTTTATCTTATTTCACATGTTCAGAGCCAAAAAGATGTTAATAGACATAGTAGAGGGATTACCAGCTCAGGATAAGAAATTTCAGATCTTCTACTACTATAAAGCTTAGGGATGTTGCTTGTTCCCCCTAATAAAACGTGTGCCTACCTCATGCATGTCTTGCCTGTGACATACCTAGCCCCAAAAGGCTGCAGTGACTTCCTACCCCACCCCCGTTAGCCCCAAAGGGAGCGTGTTGCCCCCCCATGGGTCTTCAGGGAGGGTGCAAAAAGAGTCACTTCAGTGAGAGGAGGAGGCAGGAGAAGGTGAAGGCCCGCAGCACCCTGCCCAGAGCAGCCGCTTGGCACAGCTCGTTTCAGGACCCTGCGAGGTCAGACCACAGACCAGGTTCCCAGCTCACATCAGGAGTCCCCAAGGCCTGACACCCTCTGCAATAAGCAGGAACAGGAGGAGGTGCCACTGAGGGCCCGGCAGCTCCTCAGGCAAGAGCCAGGTAAATTGCAGGCACTGTGCAGGCAAGGGGCACAGTGGCAGGACTGCAGAGAGCTAAGAGCTGGCTACAGGTAAATTACAACCATAAATAAGGTTTCTCACCTGAAATCTCATGGTGGGAAGAGGCAAGAGCAATGTCTTTCAGAAAGTTCAAAAACTTCTGAAGCCTGTGAAGGTCATAAAACAATGGTTGCAGCCAGACTAGCTGTATTTGACTTGGAATAACAACAAAATAAACCAGAAATGTTGCAACATCTGTGCTGAACTCTGGCTGGAAGACACACTGTGCTTCAGGATACAGGAGCACTCTGGTTTAACTCTGAACACCTGACACTAGGAATGGCCCAATCAAAAGCCGTGCAAGAGTGTAAAACCCTCACAGATCTTCAAGGCTGGAGAGCCTCGGATGCAGCATGCAGGCTGAATGTAGCAGAGATTAAAACATGCCCTTTAGGAAAAACAATGCTGTAGGCAAAAAATCAGGAAATAGTGGAAAAGGGGGAAATGCCTTTTCTACGCTAAAACTTTGCCTGTGCAGTGAAAGAGCTTTTGGCAGGGATGGTCCTAGTGTATTTGTTTGTACTGTGGTCACCGTCGCGCTCACACTGCGTTTAAGACAAGGCGCCGTGTGCAGACGCTGCAGCGGGAACAAGGGCGGCTTTCGGGGCCGACCCTCGACTGGCAGAGCTGCAGGCTGGAGGGGCTCCCTGCTCACCGCGCGCTGGTGCGTCAGGTGCGCTCGCCTTTCATACACGTAGGGCTCTGCAAGGCTGGGATTTTCGTGTTACTTTTTGAAAATGAAAATAAAAAGGACCTGAAGTTGCTCTTTTTATGATGCTAGGAAAGCAAAAATATACAATTAGCAAACTAACTGTGCTTATTAAATGCTATTGTTTCTTAACTTGAAAAGCCCAAATGAAAAGAGACAGAAGAGTAATTGTCTTCTGGACTAAAGGATAAAAGGAGAGGCATTTGGAAGAGCTGCCAGTGCCAAACAGCTCAGCAAGGAAAGGGACAGGAAAGTTAGAGCAGAGGGAAGCAGTCAGGGGCAGGGAAGGGAGCTGGCTTGTGCCTGCTGAGTGAGGGAGGAATGCAAAGTCTGTGGTGAAAAGCGTTATCAGACGGGTCCCGGCAGTAAATACTACGCTGGCAAAAAGCATGGGATTGGTAAACTGTGTTTGAACAAACAAACAAAAGAAAAAAAGAAAAAAAAAAGGATAAACAATTGGTATGGAAAAGAAATTTCAGAAGCTCAGCAGAAGCTCAGCTCAGAAAACAAGACCATGTGGGCAGTCTTGCGGCCCCTCAGTGCGAACTGCAG